GTCTGTGGCCATAGTCACTTAGGAATTATTTTACTGTACTGCTCATAAAAATAGAACCTGGTACATGTGCTGTTAATATGAGTGAGGTTTTAAGGCTGGTGTATTTTCCCAGAAAAGGTGCTGTTCTTAGGCACCAAGTGCTGCCAAGTGGAGATAGGCAGGGCAGGCTTGTATAGCTAATACCCCAGGCACAGTTGTATACTGACAGAGGATGCATGTGCCTAAAAAGGTACCTGAATTACAGGCTAGTCCATGAATAGTTTTAGCCAGAGTACAGTGAGCAAACTAATCAACAAATATCACAAATCATTATCCTGAGTGTAAAACTTGCTTATGTTCTCAAAGCAGATCTCCAGGAATTGATTGTATTAACCCTTGCAGTGGGGCTACCCCCACACTGCAAGGGTTAAGTACTTGTTTGTGTCTAGGTGCTAAAATATCAAAGATATACTCACCCAAAGTTCCGAGCCCGCTCAGCTGTCACGACGCTCCCTCCAGTAATTCTTTGTTTTGTTTTTTTTAAACCCAGACACAAAGAGCAGTTAGACATGATCAGTTAACCCTTGCAGTGCGGTGGTAGCTGAACTGCAAGGGTTAATTAAAAAGAATTCCTGGAGTTCTGCTTTAAGGCATCCATGTTGGCTGTGACAAAAGTTCAGGTTTTGCTTGTTGCCATGTACTAAATGCAGATAAATCTGTGATGATTGGGAAATGATAACTACTGTAAATGTCCTTAAGGCTCTGTAGCTCACTATCCAAGCTCTGTAGCTCACTATCCAACTTGGAATTGGTCTGTGAATTCCACGTGTACTAATAGGCTAATATTTGAAATAATAATAATAACGTTTTTCCCCAGCTAAATAAAATGTTAAAAAAATACACTAATACATATAGCTGTGCCGTTCTTTCCTCGGGAATGTACATCTTGCTCTATATCTATCTGCTTTCCTCCATAGTGTCTGTCTGTTTCTCTATGCATCTCTGTTGGCATATGCACACAGGATATTCAGGTGTTGCAGGGTTATTCATTGCTTGTCAAGTGTAATGTAAATGCGATGGTCTCTCAGTGTCAGGGAATAAAGTGAGACAGGGCTAAGTGACATTCAGCTGTCTGCACTTTTAATTCAGAAGCAAGCTGTCTATTAGAATATTGTCATCTAACCTTTTTCAGTGAATCTAGCATCTAGGCTGGGATTCTAATCCATGTATTACGATTTAATTTGATTTAATAAGACAGATTGCTTTTCACATATACAGGCTTGTTCAATAAAGCAATACAAAGACCAAAGGTGGGATGACCCTATGTAACCAACCCCTGGCAACCAATCAAATTTCAGTTTGCAATAGTCAAGTCACTGAATGGTTGCTCTTTGTTTGCTAGGAATGTCTTCACTTGTTGCTACAATTAAAAATGGGCTGATGTAAAATTTTCCTAAGAAACAAATTGTACACAAGCAAATATTATTCTGGCTTACTGAGTGTGTTTAGCCTTTGCCTTACTGAATAACCATTACAATATTTTAATTTAGCTTATACTTAATAATTTCTGTTGTCATGTCTGTAATGTCCAGAATGGGGGTTTGTGGCCACAACTAGTGGTAAAAAGTGATTGTGAATGATAGATTTAGATATACAGTATCTCTTCTCTAAGGGCCAATATATAGTATGTGACATGATGTAAAATAGAGATATTCCAGAATATTTCTTAATAATGATTAAAGTTTTTTGAGAACATAACACAGATGTAAACAAGGGAGGTAGATAAAGAATACATATGTTGTAAAGTGTTTATCTCTTACTGAAACATAAAAGGCTATAAGCCCAATTCACAAAGCTTTACACAAGGATAAGGGGCTTTATTTTGAGTCATGTGACTATAATTATTACATTTCATTGGACTTTACTGTCCTCCCTCTCACTTACTCTTACTTTTATGAAAATAAGTACCCTTTCCTGGTTTGTTAGCTGTGTGAATTGAGCCTTATGGATGCAATTCCAATAAAACTTTGCAAGTGTTCAATCATAAGTTGTCCACACAACAGTAGAATTAATTTTATTTTCTAATGGTTATTGCGGTACAATTTGTTTTCAGGCACAGTGATGAGGAAAAGGATGAAAAATGTTCTTGTTTCCTATCTTAACATACAAATTTCTAATTAAGAATATGGTTTTCAAATGAAATTTCGATTATTTTAAACAAATTATTTAACTTAATGGGGGCAAAATCCAATGCTCTGATGGATGATTTCGAACAAAGGTGCGAATTAAATCCCCACAGTATATGGCCAGCTATATGGCCGATGTCATCCTAGCGATCTGGGTATTGGCAAGAACTTGTCAGTGGCAGGATCGCTATGTAGCAAATTGCATGTACAGTATATGCCCATTGCACACCAGACCAGATTGAAAAGGCCCACTGAGATAGGGTGCTTTACCAATAAGGGGATTGCACTGCCATGAACCATAAAAGATATATTGGCAGAACACCATATAGTTTAAAAATAAAACCACAATTTTTAGGAGTTTACTAGGAGAAACAACTCATCCGGGCAGTGAGGGAGTGACATATGTAAGCAGGTGGGTGTTTTCCCTGCACATTTTAGCAATCCAAGTTCTTGCCAGCAACAGGATCACTAGTGTGACATTGGCCTAAGGGAATCTATTTTAGTTTTTTCTGTGGATGCTGTGGTGAGAAGGCAGAGAGAAGCACCACAAGGCCCTTAAGTTTTAAAGCTTCTACCAGGTAGAACTCTCTTTCACTGGTTCCCTTCAGGAGCATTAGAGTTTCGAGATGAGTTATTTCACCAATAATTTTAATGAATGATTTATTTCATCATGAGTTGGTATTTTATCTTCACTTTAAAGCAGACCTTCACCCTCATACTTC